ACCCCCAGATCCAGTTTGGCTGGTAGCGACATTGCGAAATCTGGGATTGGCCATGATGAACATCAGACTTAGGCAGTATACGCTTTTGACCCCGTCGAGCAACTCTGTTCTATTAAAGACCTCACGTTTGATTGTAAAATCTTGAGTTACAAGCGCCTTTATGTTTTACATATGATGCAAGCGTGATGCTATATGAAAGGTGGTCTTTTTCATAGACAAGTAGGTTGACCTGATAGAGCCAAATATGCAGAGGGACGCGTTTGTGTAACCAAAGCAGGGGCAGGAGTTGAAAGGTCGTCCTATTGGTGGAGAATGCATGAAGAAGGATCCTTTCCCCTGTATGCCTATAGTAAGGTCCGCCTATGATAGCCCGTATGGCATTTTTCAAGTTGACTGTGGTATGGTTAATCGGCATCACTGCATCATTAAGTATCTTGTTTGAAAGTGCATGATGCGTGAGACATGAGATTGGTTTTCTTGTCTCGCAAGAAGGTCTCCCGTCCCAGGATGTTTATATACCTGGTAGTATGACAGCGGCTGTTGTTCAGTATATGACGTAAAATGACAAGTTTATTATACGCGAGGATGAGCGATGATGATGATGATGCATGTGGGGGTAAATGAATGGGCTCTGTGTAATCCAAGTGGGAGTTGCCTAGTGCATGTCAACGGCTCTCTGAGGAAGTTAAATTTAGGAACCAGCAGCTCCACCACTTGAGACAACGTTTCTCCCTCTTCTCCTTTGAAACCCATTCACGGCATCCCAGCAAGGTAACGTATTATAAAGAGTGGTCTTATTGGCTGTGAAAAGCAGTTGGTTTATTATGGCTATCGATATCGGTAGGCAGGGAGTGTGTGCAAGTACCGTATCCAAGGTGACATCGTTGTTCCTCTTGTTCGTTGTCATGCCACCCCACGCTTGGTGCATTAGGTACATTCAGAGCTCCAATCCAGCAGCAGATCTTGTTCCATTGATGTGTTAACTTGTGTAGATGGCAAGAGGCGATCGCAAAGACGCTTGTTCATTCGGCTCCACTACACTACACACGGTTCTCGGTTTCCAGCAACCCAACAACAGAGGTCTTCATGCATATGAAAAGGCAAGTTCAACGAAAATAGTTATTGTGTACATGTGCTAATAATGGATTGAATAGGTTTCGGTCAGCTAGTGCAACTTTGGGCGGTATCATCACGTTGGGTTCGACTTCCTCATTTGACATCATCGATGCACAATAACACGCTCTTCTTGTGATAAGCTAGCCGCTTACGCCTTGAGAATGACAAGACAGGTGTCGATCTTTCTTTGGAGAGGATGCACGAGAACAACTATGAGCCTGATCAACACAAAAGTGAGGAAGCTGGTTTATCATCCTCATGGCAGGGAACGTTTACGCTTATTATGTACTATGTTTATCGCTCAAGGCGTCATCGACTTTTTCATTCTGAATCGCACACCCTCGCATACAACGTTTTCGAGCACAGCAAGTCATTCGTGATAACAAATCGATGGCATTGTTGTTTGATAATAATGGATCTCGCCACATGGTCCTGATTTGGACATCCAATCGCATCAAGGCCCGTTGTTGTGAAGGCGTCCAACAATCTATCAGCTCATCACCATTTCCAACAAGCATTTTATCATCCATTGTGATCACAGAAATACCCACGCCCCTACCACGCACATATAAACAAAGATGTTGTCGCCCACACATCCCTTTCTTCCATCATATCGCTCTTTGATTGCTAATATCTCCAAAGCTCGAGTTGTTGTAAGTACCAAGATGGATCATTATCCTGTGAGTGACCGAGTTCTAATATCTGTGATGATGTTTAGCGTTATGCTTCTTTCAGGGCGAGGCCATTAGTGCTTGTACAAAGAGGAGATCAACAGAGCAAGAACCTGAGAACGAACGGTGCCGTCTTGTCTTATCATTGCTCGCTGTATCCTCGATGCAATGTACTACAAACCAGCGCCGCTATCGATTTTGGGGGTAAGTGCCCAGCGTTTAAGGCCTCAAGAGTTTAACTAACATTGATGGCATTTTTTATACTCGTCAAGTCGCACTCATAGGGTTGCCCAAATCACGCAGCACCCTCGAGACGTTGGATCTACATACGTTTTGCATTTCATCGTTTATGATTGATCTCGGTTAGGAAGCCCCAAGCTGCATTGGAACGGCGTGAGAGTCTCGACAACATTTGCAAAGAGAAGCCGATGTCAACCAGGGAACCGTATCAGAACCAGGAAGCCGTTCTTTCATCCCCATGCAGGCTCCAGTAGAAGTTGCCACCTGATTCAGCTTTGCACATTCGCAGTCTACAAAGCAAATCCGCACCAAATTTGATGCTTTGAGCACCTATGAACCATCACGTAAGTGTTTTTTGAATGAACCATTTTGCTGGCCCTTCACCATATTCACATATCGACTACATGGACAAGGGATGATGAATGATGGGAAGGTGGCGTCTTCAATCCTGGCCGAAATGGCTATACAAGTACTACGCAACGAACAGGATGCCACCTTGAAACGAAATGTTGTGTAGGGTATTGCCAAGGATGTCAAGAAGGAGGGCCACGTGAAGACGATAAAATCATCACAAACGAAGAGCTCAACAATCACGCCGAACATTTAGCAGCCATCCTTTCCCCGTACTTGACCAAGGGCAACAATAGTGTGGTTGGCCCGGCAATTCTAGATTGTTTAAAGACGTGTTGAATGATAATAAAGAGTTAGCGAGAAACAGCAAAAGTAAATGTGTTTTACGGTGTAGCGTCAGTTTGACCAACATACCCGTAATGATGAGAAGGGTGGAGCTTTTTATTTCACAAAACCAAGGTGGGATGATATCCGTATCTAGCTATTAGGGCAGACAGGCGGGATTCCCCTCACCAGCAAGACACCCTACTAGAATGAGCGTACCGCATGTTGTCACAATCGAGCCAAATCCAGTGACGACTCTTGAGTTCCTCGATGGCTCACTCTCTCTTATTCATTCACCCAAGGCCAATTTGTGCATAATGACTATTATTTACTTGGTAGACAAAAGAGGAAATGACTCTTAGAATAATGAAGTGTTCTTTGTTCTCAAATTGATTGATGTCATTTTCATTGTCCTCATAATGAGGCGGCACATTCATATTATGCTGCAGCAAGATCAAATGTATTATACACGGGGAAAAAGGAAAAAAGTCAAGACATGCAAAGGGTTTGTACAAATGATGATAAAGCAATGATGATGGAAGGGTGATATAGGGTAGTCGATGATTGTTGTTGTTGGTATCATATCAAGGATGGTGATGACGTTGTAAAAAAGCTTGACGTAGAGTAGCATTGATATCTTGGTATGCGTTTACAGGATCCACATCCATGTAATCCATCTCGATATCTGTAGATTGCTGCCACCAGCCTTCGTTCAACTCTGGATCGCCGTATCGGTTCACATGCACGGTATGCAGCAGTTGATTGATGTGGTCGTATTCAACATTTGTCTTTGTGGATATCGTAAAGGACTGTAACACAGGTGTGTCGATTGTTGTGGATGAAGGTGCCGATGACGATGATGATAAAGGCGTATTTACTGAAGGCGTTGGGCTTGGCAGGTGGGTAATGTCTGCACTGGAAGGTCTACATTGCCCAATGCAGCATGTTGTTAGATCACAGTTGCCAGTGCGATCGAGAGCAGTCTCTCTCCCTTTCCCTTTTGCACTCTTACGGTTCCATTTCGACTTTTGTTTTCTTCTCCTTTGGATATATGAAAGGTTCTTCTGTTCGAAAGCGTTTGAATCCTTGAGCAAGTGCCATTGTGTTGTTGATCAAGAGAGGGAGAAAAGTAGTCAGGGCAGGGCTGTGAGCCGGCGCATCAAATATAATTTCCTCCATTACGCAACACCATGTTGTACTACATTCCCGCTACATCACATTGACAGCTGCAGTGTCTTGTCTTTGTTGTTGATACATGAATAAAAACATGATTGATGGCATAATGAAATCATAAAACAAGGACCATTCATTCATACTTGCTTCTTGCAAATGATTTTTATAACCTACTCTACGCCATTTGTGCTGATGACCAAAAAGAGGGTTAATGCTGCATTTGGGATGATAAGTCATTGTCCATATAAGCATTTATATAGGGTACATAGGTCGCGCCTAATGGTTGTATTGTAGGCAGCTTTAACATCCTTATGATACAAGTTGGTGAAATGGATGGAGCTTTTATTGTCACCTTTGGTGTAATATGATTGTCTCTTCTTGCAATGCTTGTCACCGCAAAAGTTCTATACAGGTCCAGCACGAAAGATAGCATAGATCGTTGTTGTTAAACCAATGTCATCATTTGCTTGGGGAAAAAGAATGATACAACCGGGGAAACAGAATAGCCTTCTTTACATTTGAAGCAGCCAAACAACCAGCCTTTCGGGAATCATGCATTACCGCGCCGAGGTTCGAAAGCATCTGGTGTAACCTAATTGGAAGATAAAGCAAAAAACACGCTAGGATTTCACACACTCCACAACACTCAACCCATGCTCCGTCTCTTTCCTGCACGACGCGCCTTTTCCACTTGCACTCCAAGAAAAATGATCGTTAAACCTGTCCCTTGTCTTCAAGACAAGTAAGTTTATTCATTCGCTTACTAATGGCGTCTGATTCTCACTCGTCACTATTGTCATGTAGCTACTCTTACCTTTTGCTTGACGAAAAGACCCAACAAGGTGAGATTCACACCTCCTGGCATGCTTGACAAGACACTCATTTCGAAATACGATAGCTGCTGTGGTCGATCCTGTGGAGCCTAGCAAAGTGTTAGCAGCGTTGAAGGAATCGTATCCCCAATACAAGCTCACTGCGTAAGTACAGTAGTGGTATGGATGATGATGGATTGGAGTGGTGGTATTATGTGATGTCATGATGATCTCATTCTCATATCTACAAAAGCATCCTTACGACGCATCATCATTGGGATCATGCTGGTGGCAACAAAAAGTTACTCAAGGAGAAGCCTGACTTGACATGCTATGGAGGTTCAGAGAATGTGGAAGGAGCCAATCATATTGTACGCAACAAGGAGCCTATTGCCGTGGGTGATTTACAAGTGCTTCCACTCAAGACGCCTTGTCATACGATGGATCATGTTTGTTATTATGTGGATGACAATGGTCAACGTGCTGTGTTCACTGGTGATTGGTAAGCAGAAAGGATGGGACGGAGTAAGCGAGTACAAGGTTTCTAACAAGGGATGCAAAAGTGTTTTTTCTTCTGGTTGCGGTCGATTCTTTGAAGGCACAGCATCCGACATGTGGAATTCCCTTAGCACTGTTGCTGAACTTCCTGATGATACAAACATGTACTTTGGGCATGAATACACGATGGCCAATCTCAAGTTTGCTGAACATATCGAGCCCGACAATGAAGCTATTCGTCAAAAGAAACAATGGGCACAACATGTGGGTTGTACAACCCCATCCACCATCCGCAATGAAAAACTCACCAATCCTTTCATGCGTGTACAAGAACCCAGTGTTCAAGAACGTGTCCTCGGTGCCGGCAAGACTGCATCTGCAGAAGAGGTTCTTGGTATTGTTAGACAGATGAAGGATAACTTTAAATAAGAATTTTAAATATACAATCGTCGTATCCAAACATCATTCGATTGGTTTGTGTTGGGAATGGTTGCATATCCAAGAGGTAATTGGGAGCACTTTATGGTATGAGAGGGATGGGCACTATAATGAAGCGGGGATTTCTTTACCATAATGCCAAACGACGGGTTGCTCGAGGATGTAGTTATAGCTTTTCATGGTAGCAATCCTTGGATATGTAAATATAGAGATGTTGCAAAACATCTGTTCTGTCCTTAGAGATGAAGCAATTGCATGCTCTTGTATCAAGATTAATGCATGATACGAGTGATCGTGGCAGTAGTAACAATAACGTAGCTGCTATCACAAACCTATGTACTTTTTGCATACGCAGCAACTATTGAGAAATGTATGTAATGTAATGTTTATTGCCACAATCCGCAGTCAACCAACGTACAACGTTCTTAATTCAAACCTTGAGAATATGACATGATTCATGGGACACTAACTCGAGCTTAGCAATGATAGAGGGGGGTGTTTAATTTTGACTGCATATGTCCGCCGCTTGGTGTACCAAAAATGGAAAGCGGGAGTATAGGGTTGCCATGGCAACATCAGTAACCTTGTACCACGATCAATCAAATAGATTATTGTGGCGGTGCGCCTCATCTCTCAACCTTGGTATATAAAAGGACTGATCCAGTTTGCTTACTTTTCTTATTCCCCACTGCCTTTTTCTCTCTTTTGTTACTTGTGTGTATTGTATCATGGCTCGTACTCGTGGTATTCCCAAATCAGCTACTACTACTACCGACAAGCTCGTAAGTGATCATGGATCACACCACACAGCAAAAGGCGCATGTCAACTTAACCTTTATTATTATCAATAATAGCAAGCGACCCGAAGCTCGACACGTAGCAGTAAAGTGACCAAGACGAACAAGACTCGTAAAAGTACTGAAGAAATAGCTCGTGCTGCTATTGAAACCATTCGTGATTTTAAGAAAGTCAAGGTAAACGTTGTGCATGAGCCAGTGGTTTATTTTGTTCTCTTTGTTGATCCTTTCATTATTATCAGGGTAATACATACTACCTTGTCCAACGTGCTGGATCAAAAGCGCCTGTATGGGAAGCATCCTCCGAATCCCTCTTATCGGATCAAGCTTTGCAAGCCTTTCACGACCGTGTTCAAACAACATCAGGCTATGACATCAATGGCACCACCAGCTCTCGTCCATCACGCACTTCAAAGACGCGTGCCATGCTACGATTTCAACCCACTGCAGCAGCTGCTCCTGATGCCGACGACGACGACGACAGCGATTCCTCAATGGATGTTCGACAAGAACGAGGTACTGCCAAGAAGCGTGGCCGATCGACCAAAGCATCAGCACCCAATGCACCCAAGAAGTTACGTGGTATTGCAGCACGCAAGGCCCAAGCTGCTGAAGCGCGTGAGCAACGCATAAACGAACGTGCCAACTGGGATGACAAGGACGTTATCGATATGGATGAATCCAACTGTTGCTTACGATGCAAGACTCAGGTGTATCGTCAAGTTGTTCGACATGGCAGTGTGAGACAAATGAAGGCGTTGTTGGAAGACCTCACCAAGGTGCCTCACTGGAGCAAGGAGGATTGTCAACATTGGAGTGATCTCGTGTTGAATGAAGCACTTGTCAAGGGAAGAACGGATATGATTGATTTATTGGTCAAGGATGAGGAAAACAAGCGTGTCGAGGTGCCATCCAAGTACATGGCTTATGGAAGTACTACTGGTTATGTGAGTCGATACACTTTTGGTCATGCTGTCAGGTATATATTGGGTGGTTACACAGAGATCATACAATGATCTGATTCCATTGTTTCAAATAGCAAAGTGAATGAATCTCGTGGAAATCGTCAAGGCGATTCAGCTTTCTTCCGCTATATGCAAAGAAGTATTTTGGAGCTTGATATCAACCGTCTCAATGAATCCATGAACAACATTGCTCTTCTTGCTGGTGCTCAGAACCCAGACACTCCTGCCAGCGTCAGCAAGTTCATCACTCAATTCGGCTATGCTGCCTTTTGGGAAGGAAAGGGCTTTTACTTTACCGTTGCATCTGGTAATTGGGAGGTTGCAGGAAAGCTTATCGAAGATCCTCGTTATCGTACTGGTTTGAATCACCTTCATGTCAATGTTTTGAATGTAAGTATTATTTTATCACGTTGTTGTTGTAATTGGATCATCACTCACTCACTCATGGATGTTTGTGTAATCTAGTTCAAGGAGGACAAGGAGCTTGAATCTTATCGCCGCAATCAGATCTTGAAGAAAGCATATGAAGCCGCCAATATCACACCTGTTCAATGTGCAGCCATTCATCCCTCGAACAAGTTCCTCAAGGAGCTCTTTGAACAATTGACACCAGCTGAGACTGCCGAATTGGATGAATACGGCCGAACTATTGCTCACTTTGCAGCAGCCAGCCAAACACCCGATTGCCTTCAGTATTTGATCGACAAGGAGTTTTCGGTTATTACAGCTGACAAGTTTCGTATTACGCCTTTGATTCAAGCTGCTCGATTTGGAAGACATCACAACATTCGACCTTTGATCACGTGCATGAGCAAGGGTGAATATCCTGCCACCGAGTTTGCCGATCAAACCATGATTCGTCAAAAATGGCGTGCACTCCACTATGCTGCTTATTTCGGTCATCCAGACACATGCCGTGCATTGATTGATGCTGGTGCTACTGTGGATGCTATGGAGAGCTCGTTGCGTACCACGCCTCTTGGATTTGCAGCACAACGGGGTCATTTGGAATGTGTCAAAGTATTGATTGAATATGGCAAGGCGGATCCTGAATTTGCTGACAAGTTTGGACGTACTCCATTACATGTGGCAAGCATCAATGGTCATTACGATGTCGCCAAATATCTCGTGTGCAATGTGGGTGTGGATGCGAATACGGGTGACACATCGGAGAATCGTCCAGCCCATTATGCAGCTGGCTTTGGTTATCTCAAGCTACTACGTCTTTTGATCGAGGGTGGTGGTGCTGATCCAGCAGCAAGCAATGTTTGGCGTACAACTCCATGCTCAGTTGCCAACCTCAAGGGTCACGTTGCTATTGTGGAACACTTGCTCACGGCTTATTCTATCGACGTCAACTTTAAGGATCAAGATGGCAAGACACTTTTGCACTGCTGTGCTGTTGAATCCATCACTCAAAAACTGGATATCGAACAAATCAAGCTCAAAGCACGTCTTTTGATTTCTAAACGTGCCAACCCCAATTTGAAGACCATTGAAGGTAAGCATCATAGTGGTGTCATTTACAATATGTACATCATGATTAACATCCATCATCCTAGGTGATACTGTATTGCATTCCTTGGCCCAATCTGCCTATTTTATTCAGCAATATCCTTCAGGATGGGTGCTTGAGGATGATACTTATGCAAAGCCTCTCACTTTGGACCATCAGGATGGTATTGAGTGTCAGCGATTCCTTGCAACTATGGCCATTACTGCAGGTGCCGATCTTGAGTCACTCAACCAGAATGGAGAGACGCCTTTGGCAACGGCTATGCGACATGGCAACACATATATCATGGAAGAGCTTGTACGCAATGGTGCCAACTATTGGGATATCAAGGATTGTAACGGCAACACCTTTTTCCATCATCTTTTGAGATTGGCTGCTGAACTTGACACCTTGCCTGCACGACGCCCTATGGACATTACCGCAAATAAACGCCGTGCCAAGACTATCGAGAATATTTTGGAAGCAATTGATAACGATGGAGCAAAGGAGGTCCAGGTAAACAAGCGAGATCTTTATATCATTTTGGATATTGACATTTTTATTTTCGTATAGATTGATGCTACAAACGACGAGGGATACCCTGCTATGATCTATGGTGTCATGCATGCTATCGACCAACAGCGTGCACGTGTCAAGGAAGAAAAGGCTCGTATCAAGAGAATTTACCATACAGCTTCGTCCAATTACTCCAAGGCTACTGCTTCCAACGACGATACATCCATGATCCGTGAAGACGCCGTTTTTGAATTCCGCTTCGATCATTTCGTAAGTGGGGAGATGGATTATGCATGAATGTTGTCAAAACTCACATATGACTTGTAGATGGCTGCTGCTGAAGAAATAATCCAACGCCATCGACCCAACATGAAAGCCTCCGTACAGCTTCCAAAGGATTTCTTCAAAAAGAATCCAAATCGTCCAAAGTCCGAATACCCTGAGAAAACAGGATGGAGTGCTCTTCATTTTGGTAAGTTAAGCATATCATTGTGTGCACAGCAAAGTATTGACGACATTGGGTTATGATAGCATCCTTGACTCAAGATTCGAACTTGTTGAACTTTTTGATGCGACATGGCTGTGACCCCAACCAAATCGTCGAAGGTGATGGCAATGCTGCCACTGGAACTGCTATGCTGCGTGGCTACTTTATCAAGACTTTCCGCTCGAATGAATACCTTCCATCCAGCGAATTGCACTATATTGAGCATGCCGAGAAGCTTTTCAACATTATCAAGCCTGACTTTAAGATGTTGCTTCCCAATGCTGTCAAGCAGTATCTCCACTTTGGTGCCAATCCATGTGTTGGGAACAAGGATGGGTTCTCTCCTTTGATGAAAGCTGCTGAGCTGCTCGATAAGCACATCCTTCAAGATATGTGTAACGCAATCACGTTGTCCAACTTTAGCAACATTGACGCTTGCTGTGAAACCACCAATCGCAACGCTCTGATGTATGCAATCGATGCTTTGGAGAATAAGCGCCATGATGCCAACATTGATGTTTCCTCTGTCACCCATTTGGTCTCAGCCGGTGCCAACCCCAATATGCAATATCCAGATGATCATGCAGATACAATCTTTATGAAGGCACTTCGATTGGGTATTCCATCGCTTGTGGATACGATTCTCGTGCATACAAAGCATCCCATTTGCCACAGCACCATGAACAACAGTAAGTAGTAGTGCGATGGATCCTTTAAATAGGAGGGAGATGACTGATGATCGATTCTTTATAGTGCATGAAACATCTTCGATTATCGCTAGCAAGCAAAACAACCGTGCCATTGCCGATTTATACTTCCAATCTATGGCCACCGCTTATGCCGCAGCTCCCTTTGATACCAATGGATTTGATCGTCAGGGCAACAATGCACTTACCGTTGCAGCCAAAGCAAACAATGAATACGCCGTCTCTATTCTTCTCAAGTGCAATGCGGATCCCAACAAGGTGGCTGACAACATTCATGAGTCACCCTTGTCTCAAGCGGTTGCCTGTGGCTTTATCAATGTTGCAAAGATCTTGCTTGACTCGGGTGCGGATGTGAATTGGAAGGACAAGGACAACATGACACCATTACACAAGGCTGTGTTGGCAGAAAAGTATCCATTGGTGAAGCTATTGTTGGAAAATGGTGCTGATATCCATGCCGTCAACAAGCAACAACGTACGGCTCTTCACTTGGCTGTGCAGCAAACCAAGACTATGACCAATGCCTCCCTTCGTATTGAACGCGTCTTGCTTGATGCTGGAGCTGATATCAATGCAACTGATATTCTTGGTAAGTGTATACATCATCGTGTGGATAAAATGACTTATACATTGGGTGTTAGGTCGCACGGCTCTACACATTGCCTTTACGAATATGGATGTCATCCCGCATATGCAATTCTTGGAACCAGTGGCTAAAAAGACAAAGGAGCTTCTCAAGGAACGCAACGCACAAGCTCAAGTGGAAAGAGAATCGGAGCGTCTCGTCACCACCTATGGCCACCCTAATGCTGCAGGTACCAATGCATGGATTCGACAAGCCGTCATCAAGTATCATGAGGAGAAGAAGAGAGCAAACGAGGAAAACAGCAACGACAAGGAAAACATTGCGCCATCATCATCAGAGGAGCTTGAGGCCTTGCAAAAGTATGCTCTCATGCAATGGGAGCTTGATGTGGCTGTACCTACCAAGGCCGATCCAATCGACATTATCCGATTCTTGTGCAATTATCGCGGCAGCAGTGCACAGCTTGATATTTGCGATGAGTTTGGACGCACTGCTTTGCATTATGCAGCCATGGTGGGCGCCTTTTCAAGCACATCCATCATGCTTCAACATGGTGCCGATTTGAATGCCAAGGATTTGGACAGCAACACACCACTACAACTCGCTCTTCGATACAAGCATGTGGATTACTCGGTGATGCTATGCAATCAAGGTGCTACTGTTGGCAATGATATGACCATCCCTGGTGCAAAGCCCGTTTCCACTCTAAAGTACAGCCTTTCTCAAGACTTTATGAACATGGCGTATGTCATCCTGGAGCAAAATCCAAATACACTTGGTATGTTATAACAACCTTCTTCCATCAGTGACAAAGATGACTTATCATCCTTCTTTATAGAATCCTTGCGTGATGCTCTTAGAACCGGCAAATTCCATGTGGCGGACATTTTGATGAGCACAGCTGAAGTAGCTTCGCTCTCTGGTACTATTCAAGATGGACAAAACATGTGGCATATTATCGCTGATTTCACTCCCTTTAACGAGTAAGTATGATATGTGATGTTGGGTATTGAACACACACTCTAATTGAATGATGCATAGGGAAATTTGGAACGAGTATTTGCCTGATTTCCTCACTCGAATCTCCCAGCTGAATATTACCTTGGGCCCTGATTCACATGGACGCACACCAGCTCATTACGCTGCCAAGAATGGACAAACTGCGTTGCTCAAACATCTGTTGCAGCTCAATGTTACAATCAATTCGGTGGATAACGATGGCCTTTCAGAGCTGTGGTATGCCGTATCATCCGATAGCGTGGAATGTGTGCAGGTACTTACAATGATCAGCGAGTGAATGGGAGTATACTTACTTACACAACCCTATTCAATAGACATTATTGCATGCCGGTGCCAATGTTACGCTTGGAACTAGCACACAACAACACAAATCGATCGTATGGACAGCCACTAGCCAAAGCAATGCAGCCATGCTTCACCTCTTGCTCAATGCCGGTGCACCCACCGATCAAGATAGTCAATATGGTCGATCCAATGCCATCATGAAAGCTTGTATTGACAAGAATGAAGGCATGCTCAAGGTAAGCTTTTAAATATGAACGTATGAATTTTATTTATTGACATGTTCCTTTAGCTCTTGTTGGATGCTGGCGCAAATCCAGATACACCATCGACCTATATTTTGAACGCTGCTACCAAAAAGACAACCACCATTGCCCCTGTGTTCATTGCCACTGGTTCACTCTTCAAGGTAAGGAAATCAAAGTGCGTATACTCGATTGTATACTAATGGCAAATATGCAGCTTATGATCGAGAGAGGTGCAAATGCAAATGTAGTGAGCCCGAATGTCAAGCCTTTCAAGGGCAAATCTTGTTTCATGCATCGCTACGGAAATGATGAGGAACTTGATGTAAGTTATAATTGGGAAAGATCCAGGATAATCCATATATGCTTATTGTGATTTTGCATAGCTCATGATTCGTCACAATGTGAACGTCAACCTCACAGACGACCACTCGCCCAGAAGCATCTTTTACCACTTTTTCTTTGGTAATAAGAGCCAGGTATGTGTGCTTAGCAGGATGATGATGGATCATGGATGACAGCTAACAACTTGTTGATAGGGAACGATTTGCACAAAGATACTCAAGCATTCGAAACCCGAGGTGAATGATATCGATCCAATCACTGGAATGACGCCATTGGAACATGCAATCCGAAAACATGATGCTATCAAAGTCGAGGTAAGGTTTCTTTGTTACCAAAGAAGACGAGGACGTTAATTTACACTTTTTATCCAGCGTTTGATGGAATTGGGTGCCAATCCAAATGTTGTCAGCTGCTGGCAAAACCCTACAGCATCTGCTGTTGATCTTTTTGACGCTGAACCAGTGAACGCTATCTTCCACGCTGTTGCACAAAATCATCTTGTCATTTTGCAGACGATTTGCCGCTTGTCGAAGTATCCGATCAAGTGGACGGCCACTAATTCTCAAGGCCAAACGGTGGTCACATTTATTGCTGCAAGCCCTTACTCGCCTGAAAATATCGAGGTCCTCAAGTTTATTGATTCTGCTATCCCTGATCAAAATGACTGGATTGCTCTTGCAACAAAGAAGGATACTCATGGTAAGTTTAATGCTTATACGGATGATTTGTAACCATTTACTGATACCTTTTTTCACCCCTTAGGAATGACTGCAATGGACTATGCCAAGGCACGCAAGCGAAAAGAACTTTACCACATCTTGGTCGACCTTGAAGTTCCCAAGCCAAAGCAGCGCCGAATGATAGAGGATGATGGTGCTGATGCTATGGATATTGACCAACCCTTCATTGCATTACAATCGGTGGAAGAAGATGCAGATGCTGAACGTGCTATCCTGGATAAGGAGGCTGAACAACGTGCTACTCGTAAAAAGAACTCGGCCAAAGAAGACATTGATTATGATTCGGTGCATGAGATCGACTCCTATTCCAAGCTCGAAAAGGTGGGCCGATTGCTTTTGGATGATAACAAGGAACCCTATGACATTATGCTTCAAAAGGTGGATATCGGTGCTAGTTACTATGGTTGCAACATGTAAGTACGAAGAAGGATCGTTAGTACAATGACAAAAGCTGACATTTTACCATCAGGTTCTACAAGCTATCCATCATTTACAACACTGTGCTGGATGTTTATGTTTTATGGACACGTTGGGGATCATTTGGAGAAGAAGGCATGCACCAAAAGACACCCTTCCTTACCAAGGATGAAGCCGTTGCCGAGTTCAGATCCATTTTCCGCTCCAAGTCAGGCAATGTATGGGAAGACCATAAGCCTGAGTCCTTTGTGGCCAAGCCGGGACGTTTTGAATTGATCCGTGCCAAGCAAAAGAAGAAGTTGACCATCCTTGAGGACTTTAAGTTTATGGATTCTGCTGTGGCCTCTCAACTGCCCCAATCGATCTATGGCACCATGCGACTTTTCTGCAACTTTAAAGCATTACAAGATGGCTATCGCAATATCGACCTTGATATCCCTGCTGGACAAATCCCACAAAGCTCGATTGATACCGCCTACAGCATTATCGAAGAGGCTCGTACGGTGATGCAAAAGTACCAGGAAGCTGGATCGAGTGTCTTGACCAAGGAAAAGAATGCTGAGAGAAAGCGTAAGTAGCGAAAAATGGATCCATTGTTTGGCAAGGTACTAACTCTTTATTCAGAGCTTGCCCATCAGCTTGTCCAATTAAGCAACAAGTACTATCGCCTATTGCCACCGACCAACGAGAAGAAGGGAATCACGCCACTTCGCAACAAGCAAACCATTGATAAAGAAATGGCTCGTCTCAATACTATCAGCTACTTTACGTTCTCATCCAACGTCATTCTTGCCGCCAAGCGACGTGCCTCGGAAATCCATCCGCTTGATTATTGTTATCGTGCTCTCAATTGTCGACTGAACGAGATCGATGATACGTCGCTTGAATACAAGATGGTGAAAAAGTATATGCTCACCACAGCGGATCGCACCACATACGAGATTGCCAACTTGTTCTCGATCGACCGTGCGGGTGAAGCAGAGCGATTTGATTCGATATCCAACAAGAGCAATTGCAAGCTTTTATGGCATGGATCGCACACGCACAACTTTTTGGGTTTGTTGAAACAAGGTCTACGAACCAAGCCATCCTCTACTGTGGGAGGACATTCGGTAAGTGATGATGATCCTATGTGTATGTGTAATGCTTGATGATTAACATGCTTAATACACTATTCAGGGCTCCATGTTTGGCGATGGTATCTACTTTGCTGACACGTTTGCCAAGTCCGTAAACTATTCAAGCCGCGGTGCCTTTGAAATGAAACATCCCGGTTATTCACTCCTTTTGTTGTGCGAAGTGAACCTTGGTAATGAATGTGCTATGACGTACCACAACACGTATGAATTCGAGAGGGGCGATTACCAATCAGTCAAGGGTCTCGGCATCAATGGCCCTAATCCAGACAATATCGTGTATGACAAGAATGGCATAGCTATCAGTGTTGGACCCAATATCAAGTACGATTATTCATCAAGGGACTATTGGAACCGACCACAACTCAATCACAGCGAGTACATCGTCTATGATGAAGCACGTGTCAAGCTGCGCTATCTTGTTGTTGTGCGTGATACTGAATACTGCACATTGTGCCAAAGTCATACGGCGTCGACATGCAAGGAGCTCTCCAAACACAAGCTTGAGGATGACTTTACCTATCACACCATCACCGAGTACGAAGCCTGGTTGCTACGATTCCAGTTATCGCATGCCAACAAGAAGGTCAAGGACGTCTTTGATGATAAGCTCGACGAGTACATTCGCACACGCCAATATGGTAAGTAGCACATGCCACCGTTTGAATCATTTATCATTGTATATTGATGATGGACGTTGTAGAGAAATACTGGTTACCAGTTGAACCCTTGACACGTGACAGCAGAGTGTGCAAATCATGCGTCAACAAGATGGCCACCACTATCCTTGTGCAGGAGATGTTTTCAAAACTTCCAAGTATGTATCAAATAGCTTTTTGACATTAGTAGTGGTAGCAGCCTTTTATTCATGCGTTGTTCTCTTATAGATGCTGTGCAAAATCGACCTGTATGCAAGTTTGGTATCGACTGCAAGATGAGCGGTTTACAACATGCCAAACGTTTCCAACATTGGTTCCATCCCAACAGCACCAAAGAGGAGGAGGAAAAGGAATCCGCTGATGAAGACGAAGATTATGTTGAGAGCGACCACGATACGTCGATGGATGAAGATGAAGATGAGAGCATGGACGAAAGCGATTGAACATGATTTACACAACTTGTTTATTATATGCCTCCACTCATTTCTTTGTTTTTCTATGATCAATTTAATAAAAAAAAGTCTATTGTCTTATGCCAACTATCTTGAGATGACAACCATGCGATGGATCAGGATTCGTAGTGTCCAAATGAGTTGGTGGCGGAGTGACAGCAAATGTCAAAAATAGGATAAAAGTGCTCTGAGCGCCCGTCTCTTCCTGCTACCACTCAACTCTTCAATTATGTCAACACAGTTTTATGAGCTCTATCGTCATAGCAGGTTAGGAATCAACTACGTGAGCACTTTATCAGCATACCGACCTATATCATAGCATTGGCATGGCGTTGACAGATTCGCTCGATGAGTTGATTCAAAGCGGCCATATCAACCCCCAACTTGCATTACGTGTGCTAGCGACATTTGACAAGAGTATTTCAGAAGCACTTGCTCAACATGTTCGTAACAAGGCCAACGTCAAGGTATGTTTATTTAAAAGGAAGAAGGTATTGGATCGCTGACGAGATTGATCTTGTTGTGTATGTGTGTGTGTGTAATAGGGTCATCTGCACACCTATCGATTCTGCGACGATGTATGGACGTTCATTGTGGAGAACCCCAACTTCAAGTTTGAACAAGAGTCAGTTACTGCTGAAAAGGTCAAGATTGTCGCATGTAACGCCAAACGTCCTGGTGAACAGTAGACGCACTCAACTATCAACGTCAATGATGCACCACCACCACCACACACATACACATACGCACACAACCATTCACACGCTGCCACCATCACCACCATTCACCCCATCACATATCAATCCAACCATCGTGTCCAGTTGTTGATACGTTACTTCACCTTTTTCGCCATCACCATCCTTGTGTTCAAATACTTAATTGACAGCATCATAGTCTCTCGGTACGATCTGTAGCACAATAAAACCTGCTCTGGTTCAGTCAAAAGGAGCATGTATATTGAAGTCATTTGATGGGAAGGAAAGAATGGTAGAGTTATTCACAGGGGAAATAGTGCTAGTTTTTCATGTTAAGCTTGCTTGGCATTGGCTACTACCCACTCCAATTAGATTAGCAGCTGCTTTTACGTATCTTGAATACAAATCCTATATAAACTTCCTCATCAATCACCTATTATTGGACCAGGTTGTCTTGTGGGAAAGGCGATAAATGAGAAAGATAATCATTGATTCAACAGCAACATGTAGCATACATCGATGATCATCATAGTAGCTTTGTTGCTGGTGGATATCATCTGCTGATTGGCTGACCTATTGGAATACTTGGGCTACCAATGATAATATGCAGCTATCACTCATGGATTGGAAGACGTTTACGGTTGACTTTTTACACTACGTTCGTATGAAAGCTCTTTTGTATGCAGCTATAACCAAGAGAAAGCATGTTGGGCTTAATTGATCTTGTCAAACTCGATCTCATATCTCCTTTGGAAGATATCGAAGCACATGCAGCCCATTGTATTCATTAAAAACCTCCACTTGCGCGATGGATAAAAAAGAATCCCTGCAGAGGCGTTCATTATATACTTTCCAAATGAAGTCGGCTAGCCTAATTTAGACCTCCGCTTGCATAAAGAAAGGCAGGACACATTTGCATTGACAACACTCGACTCTTTCTCCAAACAGGCACAGCTCTTCTTGCTTTTATTCACACATTGCTTTGTATGGAATCTGAAAATACCATTAACAACCTATACCACTCTGACAATAACACCTTGGATTCGGTAAGAGGCATGGCGCCATTGCAGATCCCGACGTCTTGCTGATCGCTTCAAGCGCGTCAATTAGGACGATCTTTACGAGGCGAATACACATCAGCCTACGCTTGCAGAGTAGGTTCCCCTCCAATATAGTAACAACCCCCAACTTACATATACCATTGTTTAGGCATCAAGCAGTGGATGGTTATCCTATGTCATCATCTTCTGTTGAAAAAAGCAATCAAAATCATTATACCAGCGACAGCAGCAGCGATGATCAAGCTATCCATGATGGTGATGATGTGAACGTTCAAGCACCACAAGGACCTGAGGGCAATACAATGTTCAGGAATTGGGACGATGATGATGAGGATGAGGAAGATGATCACCGGATCAACACAGGGTTAGCGTCTATCGTAGTGAATGTCACCGGCACCAATGGAACAGTCAATGTGCACGCAAGCCATGCCGACTTTATTGTTCTCAATATCGATACCAATCGTGGTACAATCTACGTGGATGCGAGGGACACAAGCATTGTTATCGTGAACATTGTCAACAATTACGGCATTGTGAGAACGATTACAGCTGATGCAAGTATCATTCGATTGAACATCAACAACACCCACGATGGAATAGTCGTCTGCACAAGAGATTAAATAAGAGTAGTAGTAACAAAGCATAGCATATAGCATATCAATAAAGACAAATTATAGCAAATGATACATGATTTTATTGGTAAAGAGACGTCTACAAGGTTGTCCATCCACCGACATCATAGGTTGCTTCAATTTGGCGAGCAACGTAAGCAGGGATGCCATGTTGTAGCCATAATCGTCGGGTATCTGCATAACGCTGAGTATTAAGGTAATGGGGCCGTCCTCGTCGTAGTCCTTGATCAATCTCGCCATGAGCATCCAGGTAAGGTGGCTGCATAAACCATCCATTTTCATTGTGTAACACGAGCAACGAACATCGCTTGATCAAAAGGTAAATACCAATCTCACCACCGCACCTATCAAAAGTCGTATGTATGATGAGTAAAGGGCAAGTTGGGGAATATGATAAAGAATACTACTTACTCAAGCATATGTAAATTACATTCGCCTTCCTCTCCTTCAGAGCAACAGAATGATTGAGAACATACAAATGCACCACATAATAAGCATACGGCAGGATCAGTAGGCACCGTTTCACAACGAGGACATGTTTTACGTGTGCTTTCATCCATAAGCACATCAAGTCGTGATGGTAAACTGATAAGCTGGAATGGCGTAGGAAGATCGAGAATCACACGCACATTATTGTCAATGCCCATGTTGTTGTCTTGGGATACAATATCATCATCCTCTTGCATGCTGCTACGCCTCTCATTTTCCTTGACAAGTTGACTGCACCATCCACGTACCAGTTGTTCTGTATCAGGATGTCGAATCAATGTGGCTAGTTTTGGTAGTCGCAATATGCCAAGTAATCGATCGAATTCATTGTCTGAAGATTGTGGTTGTTGTTGTTGTTGTTGTGATGAATCCAACAAAAGTCCAAATCGGGTTATCAGCAAGATAATGGTGCGTCTCAAATAAGGTAGCGTAAACATTTTGAGCATTCGACATAAACGATGTCTTTGTGAATGCGTATCCATGTTGATGCCCATTGCATTCGCCACCAGGGCCAATAATTCCTTTGCTGCTTCTTGATCATTGTTGTCTTGTTCATCATCATCCACCATAGCGTCATCAGACGATTCATCCAGCGCCGGTGATGGTTGTTGTAGTAATCCAACAGTGGTCTTTGTAAGCTCGGCTAGCAATAAGATACGCACAAAGGGATGGAAGTCTGTTTTGGCAACATGAACAAGATGCACCGATAGTTCAGTCAATACCATAAAAGGATCATCCATCAACAAGGGGAAATTATTGTAAAGTCGAGTATCAGGTGGCACCTCAGAAGCTTGTCGACTTGTGGTGATTGTATCCGATGCAAAGATTTGCAATAGTCGCTGCATAGCCAGCATGTGTACTTGCACCATGGAACGGCTATCGGGTCCAGGTCCGCTTGCAACACCACCACCACCACCTGTACCTGTACCTGTACCAGTAGCATCACCACCAGCGGCACCACCAGCATCATCCGTACCAGTACTAAAGAGTCGTGAACTGCTCAACAATTCCTCTTGCTCATTGCTGCACATAAGGCCTGTGTAGGACATGCTCGTGTCACAAAGGATGCGCAACAAGGTTTGTGCCTGCATAGGGATCTGGGTAAAGACCACGTGGCCATTGCTGTCATTGCCACGTGCCGCAATTTCCATGGCAGCAATGGTAAAGCCTAACATGCCCCACAAAGTATCCACATTGTTGACGCTGGCTGAAAGACTTCTCGCCGTTTCAGGACTACAAGATCCAAGAATGACTGAAAACACTTCTTGCAATCGTACATAGGCTGATTGAATTGCCGGGATCACACCAACAGCCGATTTGAATAGCATCTCAGTAGGACCAAGGCGATTACGTCGTTGATGTTGCTGCTCTACTCCCAACAAGGTAGACAAACCAGGGATCTTATCACCGCCACTACTCGTGCCACTTGCCGTATCGACTTGCATGCCTTTGAGAGAGGGTAGTCGAGGAGCAAAGAGCATATCCGCACCTGCACTCCATACACCAAACCCGATAGGTCGACTTGGATCAATAGCAGTTTGTAATCGCTCAGCAGCCATATGAAGCTCCGTTTGAAGAAAGCGGCTGTAAGCATCTTCATCAGCATTCGAAAGGACACCAGGATACGTTTCAATCTTCCCCTTCCAAATGATTGGCAATAGCATGTTGCCCAATGACTTGCAGAGTGGGCATGTGAATTCCTTGCGTAAACGATTTTCAGGATGGTTGCGTGTCAATTGAGCTGCATGGCGTGGATCAATGGATGCATTGTACGTTTCAAAACATTTGATGTGCATCAAGTGACCACATGTCGTCGCACACAGGCCGGATTTATCTTGCACAGCAGGGAAACTTCCACATTGATCGGATATTTGATGCATTGGCCACGTACAATCCAAATTGGGTCCCATTCGATCCATCTCGTCAAACATCGCCCGGTTGCTCATATCAGCCTCCCGCAGGATGTTGGATACTTGTACCAATCCAAGCATGCCATAAGGTAAGGATCGCTCATTGACATCTTCTTGACATACAATACAAGTGCCTGTTGGATACTCGCATACTTGTTGGTTGTCCATGGCAACTTCTTCTTCACCCGCTCCTTCCATTGCTGCTGCTGCTGCTGCTTCCTCCTCTTCCTCCTCATATAAATCCTCATTTTGTTCCATAAACGATAATTGAGCTTGCGCAAAGATTTCCATGATCCTCTTTTGTCGCTCACGTGCAGCCTTTTTCTTTCGCTCTTGTTCGGACATGTCGTGTTCCTCGTCATTGCCACCGGGTGTGGATTGCTTTTTCATTGCTTGATACGCCTGCATACGTTGTCGTGTAGTATCAGAACCATGCGTCATCATTTGTTCAAAGATCCAATCCAATCGTGCATGTGTCTCCTTAGCTTGTTCATCCGTGCGATATTGCATCAACATATCAAAAAGCGTTGATGAGCCATAGGTGAGCTCGGTGGCATAATTGCAAAATGTGGGACTCGAAACGGCCAACAGCAATAGATAGAGCACTTCATCAATGACGGTGTCGCTCTTGTGGGCCTCATCCATTTGTCGTACATTGGCAAGCGTAAAAGTGGCCATTTGCACAAGCACAGGTGTCTCGAGGAGTTGATACAAGCCTTGGAATGGGCCAGCGATTGGTTCTAATGGCTTAGGACGTACAAAGAACATGGCTTCATCCTTATCCGCATTGGCCTTTTTCCACCGTTCCTTTAGCACAAGTTCAGCTTCGCCTCGATTATTGCGACTGTAATGCCAAAAGTATGGATCAATGGCATCAAAGTATTCGTCCTTCAGCTCGTAGCGACCTGAATCATTCAAACTTGTAGGTGGTTTGAAATTGGCCACCTCGTTCAAGAGTTGATCGAATTCAGCTTGCTCGGATAATCGTTCGGGGATACGCTTGGTCAATTCAGAATACACCGATGACCCCAAGCATAAGTGATGAATGATTTCACGCCGAATCTTTTGTTGTAATGAGGCATGGGTAGGATTGCCGCGCTCTGATATGCACACAATCAACAAGTAAAGGATCTCTTCCACCATGAAAATCACTTGCGAATTGTCGTATTGCTTATGTGTCGTCTCGCCGGAGAACCAATCCAAAAGATCAAATCGATCCATCAACGTCGCTAGTACTTTGCTGGGGTTCATGGATACGAATGCAAACTGAAGCAGGAAAATATCACTGTCGTACGTCGTCTCACGTAATGAAATGTCACGATAATGATGCACCTATCCATTCAAATAAGTTCACTCTATCCTTGACCAAATACCACGTAATCATACCTGATTTCGGATATTGTATCCATTTCTCACCCATACACCAGCTCTGATTTGTGATGAGAATGCCAATGTACGTATAGGAAAGTCCAATACACGAGGTAATAAATCGTCATCTTGTGCAGCAAACATCTTGATGGCATTGAAAAAGCCTTCATTCCAACCAGCTTCAGCAACCAATGCTGTATCCAACCATGTCGCGGACTCAAGAATGCCTGCCAAAAGCCAATGCAATGGATGATGGAACGACACTGGATCAGAAGTAATATCATATTGAATAACATCGATATCACCAACATAGGGCAAGTTGACTTTATGCTGACGATATTCCTTCGTGGCTGGCACTTGCGGTAGCGGCAAACGCGTCTTGTCAATAGGTTCTGCGCCCCAATCATCGATCGCTTTGAGTACACGAGCCACAGCACGTACAAGGATTTGGGCTGTATGAACACGATCAGGTTGTGTAGCTGTAAACAAGGCATGGTAGCAATCCGAAAATGAACGACAGCACTTTGCAATTTGAAGAGTGACATTGAAAGCATTCACCCACACCTCCGATTCATATTCGACATGCGTATCCTTTTGACATGTTTGTGGATTCATAGCTTGGAATAATGAAATCAACTCGAGAAACTCGCGTAGGTAGACGGCATCATGAGCAATCACAGGCTTGAGTAACTCCACATGAAGGATGTAGCGTAGATCATGGAAAGCATTAAAATAACGTCTTGTACGGAATGCACGTGATTCGCAGCTCAATCGACGAGGCTGATCCTGTTGTTTGCTGATAGGTACATAGCATATCTCCTCCGTCATGAAGAATACTGATAATGTGTTGCAAATCAAGCCGAAAAAGTAATATTCGTTCACAAGTAAACTGCATACGGAAGGCACCGTCAATAGCTGTACCGAAAACAAGATAATGGCGTTTTCAGGCTCTCGATCTCGGAAAAGAAAAGCCTCTACAAGACGTGCATAGTTGCGTACCAATCGCTTGCCTATATATAGATCGAGGTTAGTTTAATGCAAAATCGAGACGTGCAAGATGCAACATACCAAAACGTTTCTTGTACACTGGATGAGATCCCAAAGTAAGGATATAGAATTCTCGCAATGATACTCGTAATTCCTTCCACACGCGTTGATCATAAAGCAAAAAGTAGTCAAGACGCTGCTTTTGTTCAAATTCACGCTGCACTGCAAATGCTAATCGTCGAGTCTCATTCATATCTCGAATATCTTGACGTGCCGGTAATCCCAAGGGTGCTGAAAATGATTGTTCCTCCACTTGAAAATGACGATGATCCTTGACCAGCCATGCAGGATTCCAATCAATGCTTGCAATGTCCTTTTCAGTCTGATAAAGAATCTTGCTATCGGTTTCCACAAGCATAGGCACCACAACATCGGATGGAATACGTTGTTCCTCATCTTCCTCTTGATCAGGTGCATCCATATCAACATCTTCCTCATCCATGGTAGTAGTAGCTGTTGTCTCAAATCCCATCATCATGGTTTCTTCATCTTCTTCATTCACTTCCTCCTCCTCATCCAATGGATCGTCACGTTGTTGTTGTTGTGGCTGTTGATCATCATGATACTCAAGATGCTCTTCCTCCTCGTCTTCTTCTTCTTCCTCTGATACCATTCGAAACGAAGGTGTTCCACCTGTCATGATGGCGATTTGCTTGGGTAGTTTCCAATTGGCACATAATTCCTCACAAATGATAGATCTTATCTGAGAACTCGAACCTTGATGATGATGATGTGTCGCTGCCGCCAACTCTCTAAGCCAGTCAACAAGTACGGTGGTGACCTGTTCTCGGATGACATCACGTGCAGGTCGAATGGTGACCCCCAATCCAATGGCTGTAAAAGGTGCTGCCATGGTTCTCAATTCATCAAGATTGGTCGAAGTGCCAATGATCTCTCTTCCTTGTGTGTGAATCGTTTCGACAATGGTTCTTGCTTGATGAACATGACATCCAATCGCTCCCTCCACGGCATCACAAGCGTCCTTGAATGAATGCGTCTCATCGTTCCAAGCTACCAATACATAGAGTTGATCATCATCGATGCCATGATTCTCCTTATCCATATCCACATCGCCTTCCGGTCTTCGTTGTTTTGATTTGTAAAGTGGACGGCGTGCTGGCACTCCCATGCGACGAAAAATGGCACATTCGTTTTGGTTGGCTTGAACAATGTCGGCATTGGAAGCGGGGATTGAGATCTCCTCCGAAGCAAGTGCAAATGTCACCAGGATGAAATCCATCACAGTGATAATCGTTTGTCGTATGTGCTTAATAACAGAGCGTGGTAGCGTGGGTGATGATGATGATGATGTATTATTGTTGTTGTCGTTGTTGTTGGCAGGTGTAGTACCATGGACGCTGCATTCCAATGCTGTTTTCCATGCCTCTGGATCTCCACAATCACAACAACCACCTGATCCCGGGCTGATGGCTACCAATACATTATGGTTCTCGTGGTTGCTTGCATGAAAACATTTTGAACAAAGCACACAGGAATCATCCAATCGACAATCCCTATCATACATACACCACATATCAATATCCCTCTTGCATACATATGAATGCCTCACAATACTTTACCTACATCGATATACCGGTTCTCCTTTTCGGAACACGCGGCCACACCGTTGTAAAGGTCGTTGCTGTGTTGTTGTGGCTGTTGTTGCAGCATCGCCATCGAGACCACCAGCACTTTGCATATCCATTCGCTCCATGCCATCCTGATTGTGCGTACGAGAATGTCGGTGTAACATAAGGCGATCGATCGCATCGTGGAACGCAACGCGATCTTTGAAAAAGTACTGTTCCATGAGAGCATCCTGGTTCTTCCAAAGGGTCGTGTAGCATTTCTTGATGAGAGTACGTTTGGCAGCATCGTTGAAAGAGTAATGAAAGAGAAATGGAGTTTGCCAGAGAAAAGTGGCGAGATCCATCCCAGGGAAACTCCCAAGGGAATTCTGTGGATCAGGTGTTGGAGTGCGTTTGGGTGCCTGCTCGTGGTGGTGGTGGTGGTGTTGGAGTTGATGGTCGTCTAAACTACTCAAGCGTCGCTTGGAAGAGAGTAAAGAGGATCTACCAGTGCTGCTATTATTGCTGCTGCTGCTAGTTGTCATATAGAAAGAGAGTAAGAGACGACGACCAAGACGACGTGGAATAAGTGCGGAGCCTACTATATACATGTGGTTTCTAGGTCACACGAAACACTCACACACATACACACTCATACCTCTACACACATACACACGCACACCATGATGGTTGACATATGGATGGTGGTGATGGTTGTCATTGATCATCTTTCTTTCCTATTGCTAATGATCATGATTCCATTATTAAACCTATTCGGTTCTATTTACATGTTATAGTAGTAGTGGGGAAAAAAGGGGGTGTTGGAGTAAGATCTGCATACACGCACCCAGCTGGGTGGGGGGGAGGAGGCGTTGAAAGCAACATGCATGTATGTGTATAATGATGATGCATGGGTTTTGGCTTGGGCCATTCGGGTCCCCTGTTCTCTTTTATTTGCTTGTTTTCCTTCTTTTATCTTCTTTCACTTTTTTTCTCTCTTTCCCTCCCCCTACTCTTCTATATACATACAATGGGTATTCCTGAAGGTGATGCTGCAAAGGGTGCTAAACTCTTCAAGACACGCTGTGCGCAATGCCATACCTTAGAAAAGGTAAGTTGATCTAACGTTTACCTATCAATGAATGGATCGATCCATATTCACTCATCGTTTTGATCTCTAGGGTGGTCCTAACAAAGTGGGTCCCAACCTCCATGGCATCATGGGTCGTCAATCAGGTCAAGTTGAAGGCTTTTCTTATACCGAAGCCAACAAGAAGAAGGGCGTCATTTGGGAGGAACAAACTCTTTTTGATGTAAGTAACATGGGGATTATTATTATCATCATCCATCTAACATATGGCCACCATAGTATTTGGAGAATCCTAAAAAGTACATCCCGGGTACCAAGATGGCGTTCGCTGGTTTCAAGAAACCCCAAGATCGTGCTGATGTGATTGCACACTTGAAGGAGGCCACCCAATAGATTCTCTCTCTCTCTCTCTCTTTACCTCGTTCTCTCTCAAGAGATAGTACGCGCACAAATAAATCATTGTATTAGGACATGTTATGAGAAGTGATAGTGTGATAACAAAAAACATGCATTGTTGTCTGGTGTATATGAATGATGATACGTTTGTATATAATCTATATACGAAGGGGGAAGAAGGAGAAAAGGAAGAAAGAAGAAGAAAGGGAAGGAGAATATTTTTGTGTGTGTGTGTGTTATCTACTCTTGACCAAAACCAAGTGTTTCCTCCACGGCAAGTGTCAACTTGGCCACGAGGGCGTCATACGATTTGTAAGGGGGCATGTCGATACGATTGAAACTAAATGAGAATGTCAGCTGAATGAAATCTCTCTGTAACAAACATCCCACCCAACTTACCATGTGTGCGCCTTGGGTAATTGTGTAACTTCTCCCGCCTTTTCAATGGTGAAGCGGCGAGGACCATCACTACCTTGGAGATCCTTAAATCCATTGACAGGTATACGTGAAGTGCCAGTTGTGAATTGCAAAAGTCGAGATTTCTTTTCACTATCCCAGGAGCGAACGCACTACAATAAAACACACAAACATCAGTCAAAAAAGCTGATACCTCGCACACGCATTCCTGTTCTCGTTCCATACCTTCCAGAACCATTGGATTACATCATCCTGCTCTGTGTAGCCACGGTAATCGGTATGCTTCTTCCAATCATCCACATCAATCTCGGCAATACCACCAATCAACAACTCAAGTTCACGTTCATCAAACACATTGACCAAATCTTGAGGAATGAGCTGGTTGAAACCTTCCTTGAAGGCCTTGAATTGTTCTTCAACACGCTTGGAGATACGCCATTCTGTGATAAGGCTATCATCATATACATGTATCAATAACCTGGTACATCCATGGTGTCATATACTTACTTGATATACTCCTTTTTGTTCTCTTCGGTTACTTCAATGTCACGACCTCCAGGCTTGAGATCAACAGTGACCACTTCACCAAAGCGATCATCATCAGTAGAGAAGGTGAGATCCAAAACATCGGTGATGTCATTGTCACTATCACAAGAAACATGAATATGGCTGCCATGCATATGATATGAGTGGAAGGTTTCAACTTACAGGATCCATTGCAAGCTTCGGTGGAAATCAGCATCTACACTTTCCATGTCGCCCACTGTGACCTTTTTGTTGAGGATGTTCTTGTAGAATGATACGATAAAGAAGGCATCCAAGAAACGACGATGGAAGATAGCCAAACCAACAACGCGACCAATGAATCTAAAGTAGTTGAGATGCTCGGGGTTGATTCCAGAGTGGGGGTTGATTTGAAGCGTGTAATTGTCATGAGCCGAGTACTCAAACAAGCTATAAAACTCGTATAAGTATATGCATGCTTTCATTCCATAGGATCTTTTTACTTACCAGTAGAATGGATTGAACATTTCGTGTGAAAGCAAAAAGAAGAATTCTCTGGAAAGACCACCATAATCCAAACCATCTTCTCCATCAAACTTGATCATGAGACGCTTTCGAAGATCGGCAGGGGCTTGACGCATAATTTCTGCATAGGCATCTTCGAAAATATGTTCACGACGCACCTTGATATGACATTGACCAGGTACAGGACGCAATGCAGGTTGTGAGCGGAAGTAGATGAGCTTACGACGGAAATCACGCTTGTATTGGGGCACATTTTGATCAAGGCTACTCGGCAATCTCGGATCTAAAAAAGGTGGTGAATACATACAATGCAATGTAAAAGGTAATAATAATAATGATACATACCATCCCACGTGGTTGTTTTGGTATTATGATCCACAAAGTAGACTCTTCCTGTGCTGGTAAGACGCATTTCCCATCCTGATGGCAATGGACCAAGCTGTGACACGGGTTGTACCTGAACTTGAAGATTGGATCCAGGACCAATAGTGCTGATGTATTGTTGTCGTCGAGGATCCACCCACGTCGTTGTTCGTGTATTGTGATCCACAAAGTAGGGTCGACCTTCAGGTGTCGTACGCATTTCTATGATATGAATGTAAGAAACAATTCACGCATCTATGAACGTACAAAGATAATAGGATACATACCCCATCCAGGTGGGAGTGGACCTGATCCAGCAGTTGTCATATTATGTTGCAACGCCATCACATTGGGATTGGCTTGTGATGATCGATTGGCAGTAGCACTTGATGATGCCGAAGCGCCAGCCGCTGATGGTGTTGTAGTAGTAGCAGATGGAGGCTGTGTTTGATTATCCTGCGTGTTGCTATTCGAAGATGCTGCTGCTGCTGTTGCTGCTGTTTCGGGAAGACCACGCGCATTATGCCGCTGACGTTCCATTTCGGTTTGCTGTTGATGTTCTTGTGCACTACGTGCTCTACAATAAAGTTGTATCAGTATGGCAGTAATAAGATTGATCCATTCATTCATTCATCAACTTACGATGGGCGTTTCCAAGTGGTTGTTCTTGTATTGTGATCCACATAGTAAGGTCGACCAAGATGATCCACACGTCTTTCCCATCTAATCCCATTATCAACCCAAATGAGTATCCATTGCAATGATAATCAAGAAATGTGTAATCATACCCTGGTGGTAAATCATTTCGATCGTCTTGGTTGGCATTAGCTGATGCGGAGGAAGAGGATGCTGCTCCTGCTGCTGCTGCTGTAGGAGGAGTAGTAGAAGTAGCAGCGGTTGCTGGAGTAGCTGTATTGGTGGCATTTGCTGTTGTTGAACTATTGGTAGCTGCAGCTGCAGTTGTAGGAGATGTGTTGCGTGATGAAAGATCGTTTGTGATAAGAGAGCTGCTGGATGCATTGGTTTGGGAATTTGTGCCGGGGACGAGGGTATTTGTGCCGTTACGGATGGGAGCATTGATGTTTGTAGTGATGTTGAGAATAAGTTTGCCATGGACTGTTTCATTCGCATTGGATTTTTTGAGATCAAGAGTCAACATTTCTAGATATCATTGATGTTAATATCATACATACAAGGTCAACTCTCTATATATCCATCTACTTGCCATCACCACCAATATCCAAGTCAAAGACATTGCCAACTTGGACGTTAATGACACCCAAGAAACCTTGATCCTTCTTTTTGAACTTTTTCTGATCAAACACTTGAACTGCAATCACACTTTGGTTGGTCACTTGGCTATAGAGATAGATACATCTATTTGTCAGCATGTCATGTATGTACGTATCGTGGCTGGGTGTGTCACATTACAGGTCAAAGCTCTCGTTCCAATACGGGTTCAGTGTCTTTTTCATGACGGTGGTCGTATGGGTTTGCTCGCCATCCACGGTAACAACAGCTATCATGTATACACATTAGCTCGATTGGGGAATAAAGTGGTTGTCGTTGTCAATGCATACCGAATGGGTCTGGTAATTTGAAAAACAAGTCCTTCTTGACAAGGCCATCAGCTGCAATGACAGTCAGCCGAACTGTTCTGGTTTGTGCCGAGCTCGACATGGTTCGCTGTCAAGACAATGGAGGATTGTGAAGATAAAGATAAAAAGGGAAACGAGTGGACGACGGACGACAAGTATCGGAAAGAGGAAAAAGGGAAAAAAGGAAACAGGGCAGGAGAAGAAAGAGAAACAAATGCTTTCTTTTTTTTTGTGTGTGTCTGCGGAGCACAGGCGTTGTATGTGTGGGTGTTGGTGTTGTAATGGATAAACTGGAAAGCTTCCCAGCGATCTCCCACACACATACAGATACCACCACAAGGGCCTCTTTTTCTTTGTTTTCTTGTTCTTTCAGCATTTACTACAATAATCACACCATTCCATCCCACACCCCATTATTACATTTAATGATGACTGGATCATAGTATGAAACTCTTTCCTCTCCTCTCTAACGCCGATATCAAGGGTTGGAGAGAGAGACACACATATGTTTGTGCCAATTTGGGATTGCTCATTCATTTCTCTATTCTAAAAATACATACCCAGACATACATAATACCACCACCAACAACCCCCCCCCACCACCTGTTTACCACCCTTCCCCACTTCTTATCTAGGGTAATCCCAATGTAATAAGCAATCCATAACCATCATCCCCTTCAAGAAATTTTTGTCTATTCCATAATGAAAGATCATCACTTATGCATACAATTTACATTTATAACCCGTAGCCAGGTAATTGGTCCTTGCTTACTCATCTGTGTCTCAATCCACCCACGTGTCTTGCTCATCACGCACGCACACACACGCACAACAGGCACGGCGGAGCATCACAATGACGATAACCAAATTCATGGTGGGGGAAATTATATCCGCTGGTACAGCATGACGCTAAGATCACTATAAACGAGGTCCACTTAACACCCCTCCCCCCCTTCGCTCGTATGATGAAATTACCCTTTGTCATTGCCATTGTGCATTACTGCTTTATCATAGCTGGTGTCGGATGCATGTCAATGAGGAGACAATCATTAAACCTGCCACTTGTACCACATGAATGATAGATCTCTCACATGCATAACCCACATGAATGAATCATTGTTTGTATTGGTGGCAGCACGTATGCACATGTGCTATTATCATTACACACACCACACTCTCGGTACATTCCATTTAGAAACCATGCCCATTTCAGCATTTTATGCATGCACCACCCAAAGTGAAATAAGACATCGATGAACCATATACATAGCTCCTCACATTCCTTTCAACATTAACTTGTTGACGTGCACGTATCTACTACCACCATCATCATTCTTATTATGTATCGTCTCCTTGTTCTGATATGTGTATTAGCATTGGCTATGGTTCAGGACGACAAAAAGGCTAAAAATGAATAATCAGTGCTTTGATACATGAGCAAATTGTGGTATCCAAACTTTTGACTCTGCTTGATCTCTCAACTACAATATACGAAAGCAGCCTGCATACGTGCTGAGTGTGTCAGGCTGACTTTGAACATTGGCCTAATGCAAAGCTCAGACAACTTTCAAATCCAAATTACGCTACGTTGACCCTCCCAATCACTTTCGCGTTTCCATCATTGCTTTCAGCAGTACATTCTCTATCCAAAGATACTAAACAACGTCCCATTACGCTATATGGAAATTTTGTGGTCTATCATGTACATCGAAAATTCAAAAATAACTCGAGGGGCTATGGCCAAATGGATAAGGCGCCTGACTACGAATCAGGAGATTCCAGGTTCGACCCCTGGTAGCCTCGATTAGTTGATAATAGCTTGAAACGAGCTGTTTGTTTCTTTTTCTTGTTTTCTGTTTTGGGTCACGTGACTTTTAGGAGCATCCCTTTTGGCATTGACAGTAGTTGAAAGCCCTTTTTTACACAATCATTCATAGAATCAATCGATCTAGGCACCTGTAACAGATGCTTTTACCCTCTCTGTATGTACGCCTTATGGTACGTTTTTCAACATACCCTCACCCGGAGACACCAAGTTTGAATCATCTTGTTAATGTTGTTTATGCGTGATGCAAGGCATTCCAAATCAATTGGGTAACCATGATACTCTTAAAGTGCGCAAATCAAGAAATGGGGTACAATAAAAGAGCAAATAACAGCAGGGAAACAATACATGATTAAATCAGCCTTCGATATCAAGAGGGTGATGACGATGTAACTACTACTAAGACGACGACGACGAACTAATACTACTCTTTCCTTTCTTCTTTATACAGGGGTTGGCATGGATACATGGAATAAAAGGTTATGGATACCGATGACGTTGTACACCGGGTAAGGAATCGTAAGGATGAAGTTGGTTGTTAAAGGCGGTATTATTATTGGAGGTGGTGGTGTTGGTATTACTGCACCATGTGGTGGATGAAGGCACGACCGTGGATGATGATGATCTCACTATGGCTGGTTCAGGATGGGATAACGGTAGTGATGTTTGAGATGAATTGGTTGATGTATATAATAGAGTGGGAGCTGATGTTGCAGTGCTTTCTGATACAGAGGATGCATCTTGCAAGTTTGCTTGTGAGTAACTCGGCGGTGGTGATAAAGTTTGCTGATCCAACACGATCGAGGATGACATGACAGCGGTGTGATACGATGGCAATTCTTCTGCATAATGCGATATCTGGATCACCAAGCACAACCTCGCATTCTTGTACTTTGACGGCAACGCATCCTGTGCATTGGGTCGACGAAATGTCCACTTCAGGCGATCGGTCTTGTTGAATTCCCGTAACGTTTGTTTCAATGCAAGCTCAAACTGTAACAGCCCCTGGGATCAGTACATTTGACCTTCATGGACGAATGGTGAAGAACCTACTTGACGTATACGATGTACAAAGGTGGCTCGTCGACGGCTTGTCCAATAACTAAGAGCAGCAGGAACAAGGAGAAGGATAAGCGGATACCACATTGATATGTCAGCCGATCGTGCAGCAAGCGAGAAACCAGCAGAACAAGCAACACAGGCGATGACAAAGACAAAGACGTAATACTCGATATGTGTTGATGGGCATTGTGTACGTACAAGTCGATCCAGTTGTCGCATTCGTTCTTCAAAGATAGCTTTGGGTAACTATGAATCACACATAGATAAGTCATTGTTGTCGTCGTAGACTATTAGCTTCTTTTATGTATGGAGATATACGCACGAATTCAATAAATGAAGGAATTTGATCATGATCTTCGAACCATATTCGAGGTGGCATCCATCGCAAAGTAATTATGTTTATATGGGTGATAGGTGCAGGCATGTAGGTGGTGGTAGACAAGTGAAAAAGAAAGCATCAAAAGATATGACGCATCCACGCACACACAACCCACTCTACATGTAGTGGTGACCAACCTCGTCAGCTCCGTATTTCTTCTCCTCCTCCCCTCCTCTTGTCCTCTTGGGTCTCTTGGTGAATGGGTCTCTTTGACCAGACAAAAAAGTTAAAAAAAGGAGGTGATCTGTATGAAGGGGACAACTGGTTTGCCCAACACATTGAGCAAAAGGGGGTAGCCAAAAACAAGGGACGCGGGAGGGAATGACCTTGAGAGGAGAATGTGCACACACGTACATACACACATACATACAACTTTGTACTTTAATAATGACAGCGATTGTATATAAAGGATCAAGTAGCAGTATGGGTGGGAACAACGAGCATTGTCCAAAGATGGCATAATCGATGATCCAACATGTAGCAAAGATGCCCGGTGTAAATGTGTCCTCAGGGGAAGGTTATCAAATTTCTTCTTGTTGAGCGAAAGGAACAAGCACCATGTTGTATTCTACCTCGTTGTCATTGTCAGGTGACAAGAATCGGGAACAAAAGATGCCGACATTGTTGAAAGGAGAAGTAGCAGCAGCAACATCATAATAAGAGAAAGGGGATCTGTCGTACAGGGACAAGCATTCCTCCACCGTAGCTCCGCGGTAAGCCATGCCATGTCAACAACAGCGGGCCATCCATGCCAAGGGAGACCGCATTTGGGAAAGGGCTTAGATAAGCTCTGTGACGATGAACCACACACATCAAACTACAAGCTTGCATATCTTGCATATACCTGCAAATTCTAACGGTGGTCATAAGTGCTGTGTGGCAAGGCTTGGCATTTATCGTGTACCTCCACAAGCAGGTCTATATCAGGGTTCATGGTGAGACGACGAGGCTTGACAGCATGGTACAATAAATGCAGCAAAGCCCATTTTGTCAAAAATAGGCATGACACAAACAAACGCTCAAGTAGTTGTTATCAATGTTTGGCAGTGAAAAGGCAAAGTTGCTATGGGGATTGGGCTGAAGCATGACGTCGTTGGCTCTCTCAACTAAATGTATATAATCATTGTTGCTTGAGGAGCTCATTGTTTCTGTTTTCTATTTTTGCTGCAGCCGGACCATTGGGGTAGAATACTCAACATGATTATTAAAGCAGTCATTGGGCTCATTATTGCATTTGCTTTGACACAAAGCGGTCGTAAACTTGGTACGAGATAACAACATTGACATCAACACGACATGCATTCACTCATCAACTATCTTGTGTATGAATGAAAAGCTTCCCATGTCATCATGGGAGGTATGCAAACCCTTATCTGTTATTTGCCATTCCAGAGACGACTCAGGATAGTGCAAGAGCTTTTCATGGTTCCTATTCCTAAAGGGCGTCGTAGACTCGAGCGATTTCGTAGCCCATATGGATATCAATGGGATTCAATCGTCAAAGTGGCGGATAGGGATGATGGTGCTCAAGGTCACTGGTTCATTCCAAATGTTCACAAGCAAGGAGGGTTACCATGGGCCGAAAAGACTGCTAATGACGCCGACTTGATCATTATGTATTTTCATGGTAAGCGTATTATGGTCCTTGATGCTTTTAAATACTTACATGTAGTGTTGTAGGTGGCGGATACTCCCTTGGTAATGGTGAAAGATGGATATACGCCTATGGGTTGTTAACGTTAATGTTGTGTAGGGCACTCGCTAATGAATACAACGGCATATTTGCACATGGTTGAGCGATTAAAAATCGTGCACGGCATTCAAGCTCGTGTCTTTGGTGTTGACTATCGCATGTTTCCTGATGTCCAATGGCCAACACCACGAGAGGATTGTGAAAAGGCATATAGCTACATGGTGCGAGACTTGAAAGTTGATCCATCCAAGATCATCATCGGTAGGTTGACTTTTGGATAATAAGCAAGGTGCAGGATTCGATATTTGGGTGGTGATAACACATCTATACAATATAGGTGGTGATAGTGCAGGAGGTCATTTGGCGTCAACCTTATTACTGCGTATCAAGGATCAACTCCATCGCGACGACATTAAGAGGGATGATCATGTCGACCCGCTGCCTATGCCTAAGGGTGCCATTATGGTATCACCATGGGTGGATGTCAAATCCAATTCGCCAACATACACTTCCAATGCGAACAAGGACTGCCTTATCATTCCTCCAAATCAAAATCATGCATATTGGTTTGTACCAGATATTACCCACAAGAGTCCCAAAGAACAGGAGGCTTTAGCCATGGATCCTGATCTCTCACCCGTGTTTGGCGATTACAATGGGGTATGCCCAATGATTGTGACCTATGGCGGTCACGAGTTGTTTGCCTATGATATCGAGCGATTCATCAAGCGACTTAAAGAGGGCCATGTTGATGTCAATGTAGTGTCACGAGCCGATGCTGTTCACATTTGGGCGTTGGAGCGATTCGTGACACAAAATCACCAGATTTGGCTGGAAGGCATTAACAAGATCACTGACTGGTGTGCAGCAAGCATACGTCAACAATAATAAACGCGATGCATAAATCACTTGAATGACATGATACATGAATACATGAACAACAAGGGTCGTTGTCGGGAAGCAATAATGCATGTATGGGGTACAAAATTGGGTCATCCAAAAGCAGCGTTCTATAATCTCGATCACGGGCTATGCAATGAATAGATGGTAGTGTTATTAGCCGTGAGCCGACTTCATCCTATTGTGCAATGACAAAAAGTTGTCTCCATTTCAAATCATGATAGTGATACAACGAGGCTCATCATGTAACGAGTCAATTATAGGAAACCCATTCCTCGCAAGGAGTATATAAAGATGTCTTTTTTTTCTTTCTCTTTCACGCTCATCTATAGCTTTTTGATGCTGGAATCATTAATACGACATGGTCTCTCGGGTGTTGTTGCCCTTGCTTGTATCTTTATCCTGACCAAGAGTGGTCGTAAATTTGGTATGCTTAATCCATTGCTTACCTCCTCCATCCCCTCTCACACCATTCACGTCATACTCTTAGCTGCCCATGTATTCTTTGGAGGTATACGCAAAATGATGTTACTTTTACCGCATAAGACTCGTTGCAATTTCATCAAGAAAACTTTTGCTCTTCCATTGGATGAAGCTCGCCGCCGCTTTGAGAAAGACACCCAACCTTACGGCTATCAATGGGACGCCATCGTCAAAGTGGATAAACCAGATGGTGTGCAAGGTCACTGGATAACCCCCAATGTTCATAAACAAGGCGGTCTTCAATGGGTCGAGAAAACTGCCAATGATGTCGATTTGGTCATCATGCATGTTCACGGTATGTCTATATGACTTAGGCCGGCATTGTAAAAAAAAAGCTTCTTGTTAATCATGTTGACGTTTCACTCGTTAGGTGGTGGATTCATGAGTGGTAATAAGGGTGCAAAAGGCATTGATGTTAAAAGGATGTTTGCTAATGACACACGATAGGACACTCGTTAATGTATACGCCGTCATTTTTGTACATGCTTGAACGATTTGAAAAGGTGCATGGTATTCGAACTCGCATCTTTAGCGCCGAGTATCGTTATTTCCCTGAAGTGAGTTGGCCCGTGTTTCGAGAGGACTGTGAAAAGGCTTATGGATACCTTATGCATGAGCTGCAAATCCATCCTTCCAAAGTCGTTATTGGTGAGCTATTTTATCAAGCTGGTATATTCTTTTCGCTGCTTATTGACATGGGTGCATTCTATATTGTAGGTGGTGATAGTGCAGGAGGACACGTGGTAGCAACCATGCTGTTGAGCATTTTGGATCAACAACAGCAAGCCTTGAAAGGCATAACCGGAAATGCATCTTTACTCCCAATGCCTAAAGGCGCGTTTATGGTTTCACCATGGGTACGATTCGACACCTTTTCGCCAACATTTACCACAAATCTCGATAAGGATTGTTTGCCATTTAAACCAAATGATCTCAACGGATGGATGATCGCCGACTTTTATAACAAGAGCCGTGATGAGCAAGATGCCCTGCTACGGAACCCCTATGCATCACCTTTATATGGTAATTACAATGGTGCATGTCCAATGCTTATCACATTAGGTGGTCGAGAAGTATTGCTTCATGATATTGAGGACTACATTGGACGACTCAAGACACAAGGTATCAAGTTGGATGTCATCAAACACGAAGATGGGGTTCATCTCTGGGCCATTGAGAGATTCTTGGCACAAGATGATCGAATGTGGCATGAAGGTGTGGATAAGATTATCGATTGGTGCGCTTCAACCGTTTGTCAATAAAAAAAAAGATGTTCATGTTACGCATGATGAATGATACAATGCGCGCCGCCTATGTGGTATAGGTATCCATGGTAACACCAAGGAGACATATTGGGAAAATCTAGGCTGACCGTGATCGGAGCTGACGATCAACAATAAGATTTCATTTGCAGGTGGGGGATGTAAAGCTTATCCTTTTTTTGCACCTCTTCTTTCGTTTTTCAACAACACCGCGCTAGAATGGGTGCAGCAACAACCTTGGCTCCCGACTCGTTTTTACATGGTGTTCCAGGCATCAGACCTGTCATTATTGGTCTCGTTTGTGCGTTCGTTTTGACCAAAAGCGGTCGCAAGCTTGGTATGTGTTGTTACAACTTTGTGGGCAGCCCAACAGGAATACCAACATCGCCACACTATAATAGCTGCTCATGTCATTTTGGGTAACATCCGTAAATCCTTGTTGCTTTTACCATTACGAGCCCGTTGCCAAATCATCAAGCGGATCTTTACACTTTCTATATCTCATGGTCGTCGTGCCATGAATCAATCTACACATCCCTTTGGTTACCAGTGGGACACGATCATCAAAGTCGATCGCGGCGAGGTTCAAGGACACTGGATCATCCCCAAAGCCAATGAACATGGTGGTCTCAAATGGGCCGAAAGTACAGCCAACGATGCCGACTTAGTCATCATGTATGTTCACGGTACGTCTTTATAAGTGTATATCAACAATAGCCTAGCACACGGATTAATCTATTTGCATAAATTTCTATAGGCGGTGGATTTAGACTTGGTAATGATGAGAGAATCACGTGCGTACATTCACACTCCTCCCCACTCATGTCAATGATTTCGTTTAGGAAACTCGTTAATGTACATGTCATCCTTCTTGCATATGATTGATCGATTGGAAAAGGTTCATGGTGTTCGTGCCCGCATATTCAGTGTCGAGTATCGCATGTACCCTGAACAACAATGGCCTGTATCTCGTCAAGATTGTGAAAAGGCATACTCATACCTTGTGCGTGATTTGCAGTTGGATCCATCCAAGATCATCATTGGTGAGTGGCTCATTGTGAATGTATCTGAAGGGGTATACTAATATTATGCATCCGAAGGTGGTGATAGTGCTGGTGGTCACGTGACAGCGACTTTGTTATTAAGCATCCGTGATCAATTGCAATCCAAGGAGGTGGTATCAATGAGCTCGATTGCACGTCTCCCATTGCCTATGCCTAAAGGTGCTGTGATGATTTCACCATGGGCAAACATGGAATCTACGTCGCCAACCTACACCACGAATGCATCCAAGGATTGTCTTCCATTCAAACCAGGGGATCGTCATGGCTGGTTATTCCCCAACTTTGATACCATGAGCAAGGATGAGCAAGATGCATTCCTTAAAGATCCCTACGTCTCTCCAATGTATGGCAATTATGAAGGCGTGTGCCCTGTTCTTGTAACCGTCGGTGGCGAAGAAGTCTTTGCTCATGACATTGAGCAGCTCATTGAACGACTCAAGGAAAACAAGGTCAAGGTCGATGTTGTCAGCCGTCATGACACTGTTCACATCTGGGCCATTGAGCGCTTCTTGGCACAAAACGAAAAGATTTGGTTGGAAGGTATCAATAAGATTATCGATTGGTGTGCTTCGGCTATTCATCAATAAAACAAATGGCATCATGTGAATGAATTGAGTCGCGTGGCACAGTAACAGATGCCGATGCTGTTTACTTTTGGAGAAGGCTACTAGTAAAATGGGGGAGTGAGCCACCACTACCGGAAAGCCTAACGTTACGACATGCGCGCTATTCGAGGCAAGTGTGCGTGATGTGCCACATCAAACAGAACAGGGTGTGTGCCCTGGTGGTGCTGAGTAGAGTATAACAACGATGATGACGATTGAGTCAAATATTTGGGCAATGTCAAAACAAAAAAAAGAGTGGTGTTTACGCCCTTATGCAAGATGCAGTCATCACTTTATTACAAGTGCACGGGTAAAGACAACAATGGAGATGAGTGTTATTCTAAAGTAGTGGATGACCCAATAAGGCAAAGTCAGCATGCACGCTCACATTGAATCCACATGGCACTGTGTGCCCAATATTAAGCAAGAGATAAAATGCCGTACAACGTTCCTCAGCACATCCATCATAGGTTAGTTTCACTGTGAATGATCGCCTGGAACACAGAGTGAGAGTGCTTCAATGACAGCCACCGGAACACGCCGAGAATGATAAAGAACTTTATTCTCATTTGATTGTAGTAATAAGGAATGTTTGATTGTTATGGCTGATGGTGGATGCCAATACGAGTCGGGGCTTATAAGCACAAACAAGATCCCCGATGGAAGGATAGCATATGTCATTGTCTGGGAGCTAAATAAGGGAACAAAGAAGGGCATTTGTGTGTGGAGAAAGAATCCGGAAGAGAGTGTGACCCACAATCCAGGCGTACATGCATCATCCAAAGGCGGTCGGTGCGCAATCAAAACGAGATACATCCACACGCCTATCAATATTGATACCTCTCTTTTCTTTTTCTTTTTACTCCCCTCTTTTCTTGTATTTATTATTGCTCATTTGACAAAAAGGTAAGCAAAGAAACCTTTATTGTGTAACGCTTCACTGCAACATGCATGACGGAGTTATTCACATCCCCTTCTTTCTTCTCGTCTTCTCAATGGCACATGTTGTCGATCTCCATTCCCCATTGGCAACTTTTACCGATTCACTGGTTTCCTAATGTCGTGGTTTCCATAACTCAAGTTGAGGTTGAACAGGAACTGAGATTTCATCTTCCTTTCGTCTTTCCTCGTCCACCAAGCAAAATCATCACGGGAACCAAGATTCAACATGCCACAATGTAAGCAGTATCACAAAGGTACATGCTCCCGTACTCATCGATAGCCCATGTTTGTAGCGGCATCACACCATCATTCCCGACACCAGAGTTATTGGTCATGGGAAAACATCCAACCATCCACCAACTTGTACACTAAACCCAATGTCATTCAATGCACACCAACCATTGGTATCCCTGGCAACGACATTTTACGACTCACCTTGTCACTGGATGATATGGCCATTCTTCCCTTACTTTCTATTGCTTTTGGTTCATGCGTTACCCCAACAACGAGCACCATGATTGATGCAATGACGATCGAGTTATCAGCCATTGTACCTGAAAAAGAGCACATTGAAGATGCTGTCGATCGAATGCCGGTACCGGTGCGTGTGATTATTTGCAGTGCACGACAACAGCAGCAAGCTCAAGTCTTGGATAATTGGCTCGTAGCTACTATGACATATTCGTGCGATATCCAAAAACAATTGCGGACCGAAAACAACAATGATGGTGATGATCGGCAAGTCGGCGATGACTACAAAGGAAAACAACCGGCTGTCGGACGATACGATACATCATCAGCCTCGTCACGATGTTGCTTTTTCACTGTATTGCCGACGACGATGGAAGGTATATACCTTGAAGTGTGGTTGCCAAGGATGATTAGGAGAATATTGACTGATTGGAAGAAGGGGAACCTCTTTTCTTTGTGTTGATTGCATAATAGAAGAAAAGGCCAAGACGACTTGTGAAGAAGATTCATTCAACATGATTCTCTCGTCGCCACCATTATTAGCATCATCCACTAGTACCAAAGTGGCGGTTCAATCGGCGATGGATCCGACCCGATATGACAAAGGTAATTTAATTGTGTTATTCTGATCGGTCCATCGCTGACCTTTGTCTCTGCTCTCCTCTCTCTCTCTCGCTCTTTCTCTCTCACACACCCCCAACTCCTTATTTCATTGTCCATCATCTGTGTATGATCTGGTGTACTATCAACCACAACACACAATGCTCCGCTTTCGCATATTTCCTATAATGGTGATCATCTCCGTCCTTGGGCTCGTTATCACTCTTCTTTTTTTGACGATTGTGGGCTTTTTTGGCGCGCTTTTCACAAATGCACAAATGTCGATCCAACCACCACAACACTGTCACCATCCGATATCACAGCCCGCATCACAGTGGGAGCAGCTGATTATTCTTATCCTTCCAACAACAATAATGATCATGACGACTCAGCTTGTTCTTTAACAACTACTACTCCTTCCAACATGTCACATCAGCAGCAACAATCTTCACAAGACAATAGCAATATGCATCCTTACATCATCTCTCCTATGCAAATGCAGGCTGGACCTGCAGCCGATACAGTAAGATCGGTTTCAACACCTTGCAGTAGCAGCAGTAGCAGCAGCCCCAGCCAACAAGAGTTACAGCAATTTATGGATACATCAATCATGGTGGCATTTTCGCGTTCGACGCCATCACCAAGTACTACCACCACCACCCAACAACCTACCACACAAGATATAGATGCATACGCGTTTGTTCCCTACAAGGCGAATCTCCATGTGCGTGGTGATCTCAATACAATGGTGCAGCAATGGACACAAGAGGAATGGCAACAGCAACGACGCTTGGTGCGTTTCTGGAGGCAGCAGACTACAGGACCTGAGGACATTGAATGTACATTTGCACCCATATCCCAAAGCGAACATCCAGAACAAGCTTCCATGATTGTGGTATCATGCATTTATTGGCAGGAGATGGATGATTTCTTTATTACATCAGTCGATTGCTTGTATTTGCTCGAGTGCTTATTGGCAGTGCGTTTCACAGTCGAGGAGAAAAATCGGATCAGACGCAACCTTGAAGAATTCAAGCCATTGACCGTGAGCCGATCCAAAGTTGAAAGTGCACCCTTTTTTCGATTGGTCATGGGGTTTCCCAATCCACGCCCAAGAAACATTGAGAAGGATGTGAAGGTATTCCCATGGAAATCACTCGGCCAAGCTTTGAAAAAGATCATTGGAAGGTATACGGCGAGCTATAGTAGTACTGCCAGCGTCAATTTTACAGCTCTCGCATGCACCACTACAACATCCACAGGCTCAAGCTCATACCATGATCGGGTGCTGGTAGAGGCGGATAAGGATGATGGCGGCGATGATGATGATACCTTGTCCAATTCACAACAGTGATTGATTCCTCCTCTTTTCAGACAACGTGCAGCACCTGATCAATTCCCCTCACTACCATCCAAAATGCACATGTATATCTTATCCTCACAACACATATTATTATATCATATTGGTCCATGCCATCTCTCTCTTTCATTTGCCAAACCGATAGAATTATACACATTATACTAGTTTAGTCGACTCACTCTTTTAATAAATATAAGTTTATGTATGTATCAATCGAGGCCGCCCAAATAGAGTTAATGATGCAGTTATATGATACACAATGGTGCTGTAGATCACAGCGGAAGATTTTGACAATGCGAATTTCCCTTTTCTCCTCATTTCCCGTCGATCTATGATTTCCTTTAAACAACGTGTGACGCGACACAATCATTATCTCATGCGGACAATCATGCTGCTAGCAAGATGCTTTGTGCTTGAGAAAAAAGTATATAGCCCTAATCGCTGGAAGCTTCAGCCGAATTACTGGGCTTAATCATCGTGGAGAAGCATTGCAGTTTTCGGTTGCCGGGTTTCATCAATCCCAATGATCATCTTGTCTTTGAGCCGATCATTGTTCTTCAAGTCATCATGGATAAGATCACGCAGTGAGTGCATGAAATGATGCAAGAGACATAATGAAATACTGAAGCTCGCCTTGGAGTCATGGTTGTAGAGTGTACAAAGAAAATGTCGTTGTCTCCTTTTTGACAAAACATCGTGCACATGCATGATGATAGGGTGAATAGAAGGTTTCCTTGTATCAAAAAAAAGCAACGTGTGTTACAACGTTATTGGCAAGATCCAATCACAAAGGAAAGGGAGGTGGGTTATACAATCGAATACAGCCTTTGTTCATGACACAATGAAACAACCAGACCTTTCCTTTTCTTCTCTTTTCCCTTTAATCACAGCCGTTACAAGTGGATCGGGTTTGCCATACCATAAATTCTTCTATAGTACAACAATGCATCAAGTACCCACACACAACGAGTCCAACCAGAAAGTTTCTATCCTTGTATTATGTAAAGGTGGATAGATGGATGTGAGGTGGTACTTGATGCATGGCGTGTCAAAGCATGAAGTGGATGATGATGGTTGTACATGGTTGACAGGTTGCACAAAGGATGATGATAGTAGCTGCCATGAAATAGCATATAAAGAAGGATGCACCAATGATGGCATCAAGGTCAAGTTGACAATGGATGCCCTCTTTTTCAACGCGTTGTATATATCCAATCCCTTCCATCCCTTCCACCAAACCAATATCCATATCCATAAGAAATCGTATGTATTCAAACAAGTTGCTACGCGTAAATAAAGCTGCTTCTATACAATGGCTATCTGTTGGTCACGTAAAGAAAGGCTACAAGGCAGGCTGCTGCAAGTAAAGAACGCTGCTGGAGACAATGGAGTAAGGCATTGCTAATGGCAACTGCTGGAATGAACGCTGTTACGATTGTTTGTGGCCGAGGCGGGGGTGCACAAGGGAAGGTGTGGTGTCAAGAAACGCGTGTGTTGTTGTAGTGGGGTGCATACGCCAATGGGCTATTGTCGATAGTATACAGTATCATCTTTCCATCCTTCCAGTCATGCAAGGTAGCTGAGTTACACACAGTGTTCCCTCTGCATCTTTTGCTCTATTGTAATCATACTACTTTACATTAAACAAAGACCACTTCTCATATAGCATCACGCTTACAACATAGTAAAAACATAAAGGTGCCTGTATCTCTAAACTTTACAATCAAACGTGGGGTTTTTATTAGAGCAACGGGCTCGGCTTGGCCAACTGCACCTTGGGTGCAAGTTTCAAGTTCATCGTGGCTAATCCCAGATTTCGCAATGTCGCCACCAGCCAAACTGGATCTGGGGGTCAACCTCTTCGACGACGACCAAAAAAATATTTTTTTGGGCTAGTTGCGACATTGAACGCGAAACTTTCACACAAGGTGCTGTTGGCCAAG